TAAAATAGGATACCAAATTTAATTTAATCAGAAATGTATTTTCACCACATATGAAAATAATTCCCACTCATTTTTTTCTTTTGTGTTTTCCATCAAAAGATCCAACATCCCCAAACTTTGAAACTTCTGTTTTTTCTGCCTTATCCCACACACTGCCACTCCACCACACACACACTTTCCTCAATACTATATAGACAATCTCTAGGTTTCAAATGTCCTCCATACAATCCCACATAAAAGCTATTATATTAATCTTTCTAGGTATTTGCAATATTTCATAATAACAATGGGTGCTATTTTGTGACATGCATAAAAACATTACTGTTATTAACAGTATTAATATGTTATTAACATTAATATGTTAAAGATGTTTTAGTGTATCTAGAAGTTTTCTGGAATGCTTCCTGTATAGGAAGTCACACTATATAGTAACACATTTGATTGATATGATAGACATACTGTTCTTATTTATGCATAAATTCATAATAAATCAAACTTAAGAACAGAAGTTGGCCTTAACATGATAGCTGCCTATACAACCTATACAGAACCTTTATGCCCATACAGAAGTCTTGTAGGGTTTGTTCTGTCACTACTTAATTCCTGTACAGCTCTGCGTATTTATTTTTGCCCCTTATTTCCTTTGCTACATTTACAAGTCAAGATTCCATTCAGGACACATTTGTGCACACTGAAATCGCTATACTCAGAAAGTGGATTTTGATAATTTTATGACTTAAGGTGAGAAAACCAAAATATTTTATAACTGACAGGAAGAAAACATCTATAAGAAATAAGTATAAATTCTGAATTCCCAAAGATAATTGCATAAAAAATAACAGTAAGTCCTAAAAAACTAAGTTGACAAACAAACTTGTAAAATTTCCAACCTTCAGGCTGCTCTGGTAGAAACCAAAATTCAATTTTTAAAATTAATTATTTCCAATGTCTAAAATTATTTTTAAGTTAAATGACACTTAATATTTGGAGCTGAAATGGTGTGAGAAAAGAATCTATATAAAATTACAGAAACTATTGAATTGTATGATCTTAAATACTAGGTCAATAAAACTGTTAAAAAAAAAGAGCTAGAGTCTTAGAAACGCACAGGGATTTTTCGACCCTGTTCTGTAGAGGTTAGGAGGCAGCATCTACTCGATGGCAGCGAGTGTGGCTTCTTTGGTTTGCTTACGTTAGAGACAACATTATCCTTTTATTGGGGCACATTAAAAATCATTCCCATGAAAGTAATGTTCTTGATAGTATCATTAACTTGGCAAAGGTTATGGAATTACGCAAACTGTTTAGAAAAGGCATGTATACATGTCTAGGGAAGCTTTTAAAACTAAAACACATTGTTGTTGACCTCTATAGATCAAAAGCTCAAGTGATTGAACATTATGTATGCAAATACTGAGGACCAGAGATAGGTCAAGACTTTGAATAATAATTACAAAGGCGGAACCATGCATGCTCGGCTGACATGTCATAAAAAAGTGAAGAAAGAATAAAATAGCAAATATATATATGGCAGTGTTGACCCTCCATTCATTGAGTACCCTCGAAGCTAGAAATCTGGACCAAATCTTTCTATCTTTTAAAAATCAACCACCTCCCAACTGTTTTGCCTCCCTCAAGAGTTAAAAGGTAGTGAGTGAAGAGCACAGGATGCAAGTTATAGTAAAGGAAATAATAGAATAAGAACTTCCTCACACCTGCCTTCTATAAAACACAAACAAACAGAAATGAAAACAAAAATGGTCAAAATCCCTTTTCAGGACTTTGGAAATGAAAGAAAGGTTTGCAACAATCTTAATAAAAGAAAGGAACTTTGATAATAACATTTCGCTTTGTGGCACTGTATTCCTCCTCTCCTCAGTTCTGTGCTACCTTGAAACGCAACAACCTGCCAACCAGCAATCCAGCAGCTAATCGAAGGGGCTGAATAGGTTTAAAACACCGAAACCTAAACTTACTACCATGCGTCCTTTCTGATCCACAGAGGCCTTACAGGACAGAGGAGAAGAGCGTCCTCTGCTTTCCAGGCCTGTGCATCTTTTCAGAAACACCCTGCCCAGTCTTTCTCCCTGGAAACATCTGGCTTATTAAACAGCTGACATTTTCATTAGCACCTGAGTGCTTAACCACTGTGCCACTAGGCGCCTCCAGAATGGGTTAGGACATACTGAAAGCATCATTTCAGAGAACTGTGATTATTTGACCTTAGTTCCCTAAAACCTTCACTTACAGGCCTGTTTTTGTGGGACCTAACTCAGTATAAACATTTTTTTCCCCCAAGGTAGTTCTTGAAAGCAATTAGCAGTCAATGTTTAACATTCTGAGATGGGGGTACCAGCTGCCTGAAAGAGTGAAAAGAGTTGGGGCTGAAAAAGAAGCTGATAAAAAATTCTTAACTTGCCTGGTCTGTCTCATGCACAGCAGGGTGTGGGTGAGGGGGGGGTGTGTGACACTAAGGGCCTGCAACAGGGCAGCTAGGGGTGCAAAGTAACCAAGTCCCTGAGGAATCCTGAAAATAGACTTCTGACTTGGGGGACAGGGACACCTCATCAGACCCAATTTAAAAACACTCATAACTGGAATTTAAAAACAAACATACCTGGAACTATCTGTTTCCCCCTTTTCTTTCATCCTATGTCTATCTATATAAGATAGGCAGGACAAACAATCCTGAGGAGAAAACAACAGGACCAGCGGTCCAAGGGGAACATGGGAGAGGGGGAGTGGGGAGCCAACAAATTTTGGGATAAGGGAACAAGAGACCTAAATTTGATGGTGAGGAGGGGACATAAAGCCTGGTAGGGTTTGATCAAGTGCAATGTCTCCAACAGGAATTACCGAGAGCCGAATGGAGGGTGAGCATGACAGTGGGGGAGGAGGAAGTTGGAAGAAATAGAAGAAAGAACTGAGGCAAAGCTATTTATAGAGGTAAAGCTATAGGCATGTATATATGTAAATATATTAATTTAAAATGAGAGGGATAGAAACCAATGTACATATATTTATATGTTAAGTATTAAGGTTAAAATGTATGGTATGTCTCAATTAAATATATCTCAAATAAAAAATAGAGCACATGCTATGATATTGTAAAATTCTGGCTTTAAATTTTATTTTATTATTCCCTAGCTGTTTAA